CCCCCCTGGAAAGTTTGGAAATTGTGTGCCGGAGATTTAAAAAATTTTAAATTTAATAGTAAATATATAGAGAGCATCTAAATTACGAGGCTGATATCTCTGCCGCGCGATATACAAACTTTCCACACTGGCATTTTGGCAGGAAATAACCTTTCAGTTCACCCTCCATTGTTACTTCTCTCCACTATTCCTCCCCCTCCCCACAGGAAATAACCCTATTAAATTAAACCTTTACTATTTCAATTTTTAACATTTTTACTTAGCATTTGCATTTTCCTGACAAAACTTGCGTGTTGGCGAGCATACAGTCTGCATGACTACTTTCAGTAACACAATGGTGTCTGCTAAACTGCAGTCTAGCCTAAAATCCCTATTGATCAAACAAAATTGGAAGAACAATCTAATTACTACAAACTGTTTTGGGGACCTAATGTAGGTGGTTAGTGATCATTGCTCATGTTAATGTTTAACATTCTGACATTTGATATCTACTGGCCAGGGTTCGTACAAAACTTGAAAGTCCTTGAATGTCCTTGAATTTGAAAACAAAAATTCAAGGCCTTGAATGTCCTTGAATTTGTAAAGAAGTACTTGAATATCCTTGGATTCTTCTTGCTTTAGTTTTTGGATATTTTCTGAAATTGTTTGACATTCAAGACGGACATTTTGTTGAACTGATTTTGCATGTTCATATCTGACCTCATTATAAAGTTACGTTTTGAACAATTCAACGTCAGATTTTGCTAATTTCTAACGCCTTCTTCTTCAGTATTTAGTCCTTGAATTTGCTGATACATGGCCTTGAATGTCCTTGAAAAGTCCTTGAATTTGACTCTTCCTGACATGTACGAACCCTGATCTACCATTTCTTATTTCATACTTTGTCCATGGTGTATTCCCTGACCGGAACGTTAGGAAATTGCGCACCAAGATTTCAAAAATTTAATATTAATTAAACATATAGAAAGCATCAAAATTGTGTGCCCGATATCTTGGTTGAATGATACAAACTTTCCACACTGTCTGTGTTCCATGAAAACTCTGCGATGCAGATACCTCAATGTTTACAATCCATCATACTGTACCAGACATACCAACATCAAACTAGCAAATCTTGTGTTATAGTACAGTATCTGTGACAATATGCCTCAGGCACAGTGGCAGACACAAGTGGGGGGGGGGGGGGGGGACAATGGAGGATGAACTTCCTTGTACTTTCCAAAAGGTTTTGAATGATATCTGATAAACTGATTGTCTGATATGTGTTTCTTGTAATTCAGGGACTGGGAGGCATTTTCATATTTCTAACCTATCATTTTTTGGGGAGTAGTGAGTGTTTATATGAAGTTCAACAGTTTAACCCATTGGGTGCCGGTGGTCTCCCCTTGACAAGTAAAGTTGTCTTGCATTAGACAGTAAAATAATAAAGTAGGCTGCATAGGGTACAATGTGACTTAATCAATGGGTTAACTAGGCATATGGGCAGATAGTCTGATCAGATTAACCCATTGAGTGCCAGCACTCTCCCTTTGACAAATAAAATCATCTGGCATTAGACACAGTAAAATAATAAAGTAGGTGCGTTTAGGCACAATGAAACTTAGCAGGTTATAATTAATTTTTCCAACTTCAGGGTGTTAGCTACAGTAAAAAAATTAAGAAATGTCCTCTAACTCTAAGAGGAGACGTTTCTTTTCTTAGGTTTCAATGTCAATAGGATATTAACTGAATATCCCAATTTGATTAAATTGCCAAATTTGTTTGCTCTTCTGGTAACTAACACCCTGAACATTTAAAAATTATTCCAGTAAAGTCATGTGTTATATCTTGTTTTATTTTGGTCTAATGTGCACTTGATGATTTATAAACACTCCTATCCTTCTTTTGAATTATATAACAACTGAAGCAGGATTTTCATCACAAATCATGTCACTGTATGTTGGCAATTTTATTTCAAAATATACAAGACAGAGTTGTTCAGAATCTATCAATTGTTCAATGTTGAAAATTATGGAATATTTTTGTGTTAGATTTTGCCTGTTATCTTAGTTGAAATGTCTGTCATATAGACATTTATTATTGATGCGTTTCCTATTATTAAAACTGCTCTACAAATACCACAGTACTGTATATATAAAGATAAGTTTAAATAATGTACAGAGTGATTCAGAAAGGGTGATTTATGTACTGAGATGTGTTAGTTGCTTTAAATTTTATGTGGAGAGTACTATAACATCTTTTAGGAAATGTTTTAACAATCATAAAAGTTCCATGAAGGAATATGAACAAGGGGGCAGAAAAATTGTGGCAGAGCATTTATATGCACAGTTTTTGGCCAAGGGCATAATGGTTTGGCAGATAACAAAACCAATGAAGACAGTCCTTTGCAGAGGGAGGCATTTTGCCCTTGGGCTTTGGGTGTACAGATAGGTTGGACACATGTTTGTGCCTAAATGATTAAATGTACAGGATTTTATGTTAATCAATGAAGTAATGTAGCAAAAACGGACATCATACTATTGGCTTCGATTTCATCGTTGATAAAGGAGCATGCCTGAAACGCAAACGATGAATAGAAATATGGAATGTTGTTATATTGTATTAAATGAGTTGAATCGCAGGAAGCCCAGACATAAATTTGTGCAATATATTTAGATTGTATGGGTAAGTAAAAACTCAATAAAAATACGTACCCTACCGGGTGTGTTCCGTCTAACATTTATTAGTTCTATTCTAACTGCTACAAACTCAGAATACGCTGAGAATACCCCCGAAGCGGCGACGGGTAAGAATATATTCTTAGCGAATCATAACACAAGCACGGTGATATATGTGGGTGATCTACACTCGTTGCAATGGAAGTGTTCCAAAAATATTCTACCAATTCATTTTCTAATCCATTTGATGAGTTCTTTGAAAATTTGCATGCTATTAACTCCCGTATAATTGATAATCTTGTATGAATGCATCGATCACCTTTGGTTTTATGAATATTTTAGGATCACTTCCATTGCCACGGCTGTAAGTAATAACTATATAAATACGGTACTAAAAGGTAATACAAGCATGATAAAGTCTGCTTCTTATTTTTTCTTGGTGACGAGCATCAACAAACAGTAGCTTACAGCGACAAACGCTAAACTCCCAGTTTTAAGCAGGCGATTTAAAGATATATCAAAATAGAGATAAAATAACTGTCACTAGAGATATGATTCATTTGCTCACCCTTTTTCTGTGTGGAGATCTCTGTACTGATATAATATACAAGTGTATTCTGTTGATGTTTAGGAAGCTCTTCCTGGACTGACCCGTACGCCCAACCTAAAGAAGTCCAACGTATTGTTTTACCTACGGCTCCCAGAGCTGCGAGGGCAGGGGCTGTTGACTTGTCTTCTCTGCCAAAGGGACCACCATACACAGCGTTTCTTGGCAACTTGCCTTATGATGTTGAAGAGGAGGACATTTTTCGCTTCTTTCAAAATGTTCAGGTACTGGATTTTTAAAATTGTTTTACCAAAGCCATACAGTAGCTGCACGTTGTGGCCGGAGATAACATGTAGCGTTTCCGCTCTACTGTAGACATTCATATCACCATATGTAAAACACTGACTGGTTAAGATAACTACTTTGAATTGTTATCTCATGCAGATAAAAAATCTGGAACCATAGTTTTTATAGTGCACACGAAGTTATAGTAGGTGAATGTACACGTCAGGAAGATATCGGGTGTTTTAAAACTTCAGCCATTATTCCTTGTCTGGTCGTTTACGAGTTGCCGTCTTGTTTATTCTTCCTACGATTACCTGAATGTGGTGGACTAGTGGAACTCAGTTATTCAATTACACAAAATAATGGAGGTTCGAATGTCCCTGTTAATATAGGCTTGCCGATGGCAACGTGACGCTATAAATTGTTGTTTTTATTTTTAAAGGTTAAGGATGTTCGTCTACCAAGAGAAACTGACAATGGTAGGCTGAAAGGTTTCGGCTATGCGGAATTTGATGACATAGATGTATTTTTAAGAGCTCTAACCTTGGATGATCAGGTATGGAAGTTCCTACTAACGGGGTAGATACAAATTTAGACTGTCCATATTTATTTTTGTCGTCTAGAAATGTCGAGTAAAATATTTTCGAAGATGACAGTTTCCTAAAAGTCATAAACTATGGAGCGATCCCATTAAGAAACGTACATATAATATATTGTAATTATAAGAACTAATAAGAATATTGTGGACTTTTTTTAACAGTACTTTAAAACAAATTTTTCAGACGTTGAAAGGAAGGCGAATACGAGTTGATGTTGCAGGCCAGTCGCAGGGAGCCGGTAGGTACATTTATTATTTTGTTTACGCAATGATATAACATGAGCGCTTACCCCAATACAAATTTGAATTTAGTACTCCTACATGACTTGTATATCTAAAATTTTAATTTTTTTTAGATAAAGATAAAGACAGCAGGGGACGTGATCAACCGTCGGAATCCGATGGAGACTGGCGTGCAGTGCCAAGAAATCCAGCCCCTCCTCCAGGACGAGAATCGAGAGACATGGATGGCCGGGATCAGAGACGTGGATTTGGGAACGATTCTGGCAGAGACGACCGAGGGGATGATAGGGAATGGAGATCATCCACTGATAAAAGGGGTGATTTTGGTGACCGGGATGGATTTGGTAGCAGAGGTGGTGGATTTGGAAATAGGGATAGAGATGGATATAGAGGTGGTGATCGAGATGGATATGGAAGTAGAGGTGATAGAGATAATTATGGAGATAGGGATGGTGATAGAGATGGTTATCGTAATAGAAGAGGTGGTTATGGTGGTCGGGATGGTTATGATGACAGAGGGCATGGTGGAAGAAATAGGGGAGGTTTTGGAGATAGGAGGGGTTATGGTGATAGGGAGTATGGTGATCGAGATAGGGGCTTTGGTGATCGAGATAGGGGCTTTGGTGATCGAGATAGGGGCTTTGGTGATCGAGATAGAGGCTTTGGTGATCGAGATAGGGGCTTTGGTGATCGGGGATTCAGTAATAGAGGCAGAGGGTTTGGCGATAGAGATAGAGGGTTTGGTGACAGAGAAAGAGGTTATGGAGATCGGGACAAGGGATTTGGTGATAGGGGTTATGGTGATAGGGACAGGGGATTTGGTGATAGGGGGTATGGTGAAAGAGATAGAGGTTATGGTGATAGGGATAGGGGATTCAGTGACAGGGATAGAGGGTTCGGAGGCAGGGATAGGGGATATGGTGACAGGGATAGAGGATATGGTGATAGAGAATCTGGTGATCGAAGAAGAGATTTTAGAGATATTCGTGAACGAAATGACGACGATCGTAGAGAAGATGAATCATCAAGAGAAACAAAAGATGAAACAAGGTTTGTTATTTGAAGTGCAATTATAAAGATTGTGTACTGTAAGGGTTTCAGACATATATTTCCCTGTTTGCCCAAAGTTCAATTCAAGGAGCATGGCAAGGAACAATGTTTTCTGGTTCGCCCTGTTTTATTACATGTTGGACAGAATATACTGAACTCTCTAAATGTTTTTACAAGTATGTCATTGTCTGTTACACAGGGTGCGATAATGACTGGTACTCCGACAACTTTTGCCGCGTACCTGATCTGGTACAAACTTAAGAGTCAAGACGTACCTAAGACTACTTCCGAGTCATGTGTTTTTATACCTACGTATAGTTTATTGGTCCAAAAGTAAAACATGTATGGGCAATTTTGTACAAATGAATCTTTAATTATGGTATTTGTACAACATAATATAACAGTTTTCAAAGCGTCGACGTTGTGACTCGAATGCCATCGTTCATTTACAGTGGATTTACCGAGGGTGCTAACAGTCTGACCTCAGCTACATACAGTATACGTAGTTTTCCTCACTGGGCCTAAAAAAACCTGTGGTTCCGGTTTCATATCGCGAAAAAATTAGGGTAGGTAGGTCGGAAATAAACATTTTTTTGAATATTTTTTTCATGGTTTTGGCGGTTTTTTGCTGGGCGATTTTCAGTAGAGTCCCGACATCAATATTAACTAGAGATGCGTATTTCCTATGGACGAATTTAGGCAATTTGATTGAATAATTATTGTGACAACAGACGCCATTTTGGCACGCTGTGCGAACAGCCTGTAACCACCCGGTAGAAAATAGGGCCGCACGGTCAATCGTGTTGAAAAAAATAATAGGGTGGGCAGAAAAAAAATAGGGTCGGTCTGGAAACCGGAACCACAGATATTTTTTTAGGTCTTGGTATAGCATTGACAATTAAGCCCAGGTCACCCCACACAACGATCACGATACGATAACTTGTAAACACGCGATGATTGGTCAATAAAATTATGTTGGTGTCCACACTACAACGAAAACGATAAAATTATCGGCGTTTGACGATAACGATTTTAAAATCGCTCACCGGAGCAATTTTTTTTCAGTCGGACGATGACGATAAATTTTTTGATCAAGCGCAAAGATTGGGATTTTTCATCCCAAAATATCAGTGTCGGATGCGTGGAATTTACATGTACAGCTAAAGTTCTTCACGGTTTTGAATACTTTGGCAGGTTTGCTAGTTATTGCTAGAAAGAAAATGTAAGTACACGAATAGCAAATTTCCGCGTACCTACGTGGTACTTGCCTAATAAAAACAAAGAAGTACCAGACCATAAATTTGGCGTTGGTACGCGAATTATCGCACCCTGGACTGTTACATATATTTGTTAAACGCGCAGTCGAGATAGTTATTGGAGCTACTGGAAACCAAACCATTATTTTACTTTACTTAGACCGAGTGATAAAGGTGAAGGAAACGACGGCGAACAAAAGGATGAAAATCGAACTCGTAAGTGTGACGCATAGTTGATTATAGATGATTATTAAGTTCTTGCCGGCGTGAAAAGCGTAATAAACGTAGAATTCCGAACGTTTCGAGTTAGTAAGCAGTATAACAATAATTGCATACACCTGTATGGTTGATATTTTAGCAACGGAAAGAACACGTTTGCAACTTAAGCCTCGGTCTAAACCAAAAGAAGGCGATGCATCCAGTGATACGACAAGCTCTGCGCCATCTTCAATATTTGGGGGAGCAAAGCCTGTCGATACAGCGACGAGAGAAAAGGAAATCGCCGCTCGGCTAGAAAAAGAAAATTCTGGAAAGGAATCTCGCGATGTTGTGGAAGGAAAAGGAGGTGATCGACGTCGATTTAAATCCACGGGTAGCGAAGATGGCGAGAAGAAGTTTGAAAAGGGGTAAGAAATAATGTGCAGGGTGTCGTGAAACCGCCTTTCGTAGTTGCGTTTGTATCTTTAGATGATGTAGGTTATCGCGCATCCCCAATTACAGTATTTGTGTATTTGTCTTTGATTGTAACCGTGCATTTTAAATACGATTTTGTACAGTCAATCGCCGCCTAATGTGAAATGGACGAGTGAACGTGGTGAAAGTGAATTAGGTCGTGGTGGATCAAGGTCAGACAGAGGACGTGGACGTGGAAAGAGTTCAGGACATGGTGGCAAGAGAGAACCCAAGGCCGTTGAACCGAAGAAGTACGAAGAACCAGAAGTTAAGGTAAGGCAGCACCACACTATTTTCACACACCTTTCCACTCTATCCAGATACAAATTCGACTTGAGCCAAGTTTAGGTTGACAATAGGCAATTCCAGCTTTTAGTTTATGCGTGCAGGGGATGATGGGAAGTAAGGTATCATATTGCTGATTATGCTGAACAAATAAAAATGGTTAAAATGGTGGCCGTGTAAACACGGAGTGAAATATTTTGGTTGTTCCGGCAGTTTTTATTGAAATTTTTCAGCATAATCAGCACTATGATACCTTATACTTCCCATCATCCCCTGCACGCATAAACTAAAAGCTGGAATTGCCTATAGAATGTTGGGGTTTTTTTCTGTGAATGTATGGGATTATATTCCTTTTTTAGATGACAATACCGATACAGTTTTGGGTTTTACTAGTATGAATTTTTATATTAAGGTGTGGGCAGCGAAGAGCAAGTTCTCCGCGCTTCTTGACGCTGACGACGACGATGTTGACTTGGGAAGTGACGACGAAGACGACGAAGACGGAGAAGGAGAAAATATACGTGATACCGGTAAAGTGGAAAACGATGGTGAGGAATTGATAGCGGATACGAAAGAAAATGAAAAGCAGAATAATGAAAATATAGGTGAAGATAACGAAGAAACAGAAAAACAAAATGTTCAAGAAGATGACTAACACTAACAATAAATAAACACACAAGATTGAGAGGAAGTCCAACCAGTAGTAAAATTTCAAAGGATGAGGATTGGACTTTTTACAGACCAGTTCTCGCTACCATTCAGAATATATAAGCTTTTGCAGGGATGGACATAACACTTAATTTAGGAAAATGGTTGCGGAAACGCGTTTCTTACGTATGTTTGCCAGTGTGCACATTATATGAAACATTGTTTCTGCAACAATATTCACACTTCCGAAACAAAATCTATTTCTAAATTTGTTAGGAAACATTTGTGCTTCCTTCAAAAGAAAATTTTGTTTCCGGAACAATGTCTCCAAGGGTGCGCAAACAGTCTGTTTTATAATAAGCTATACGTTAGCAGAAATTCACAATAATATCGTACGGTAGATAAATTATATGGACAGTGTTTCCTCTTTACCAGGATGGCAGGATACCTGTGTTAGCCCTTCTTACTTCTGTGCGAAATTATTCTAGAGCACTGTATGTGATTGAATAAACCAAACGAGTAAAAAAGCCCTTCGATTAGATGTTGAATTATTTTTATATACGTTTTATTCTTTAATTCATTTAATCTTATATACATATGATGATATTCTATTTTAACTGAGGGTATTTTTATTACTTGCGTTTCCATGTTACATTGTTTTAGAAAGAAACTTCCTTTTGCGAAACACTTGAAGTTAACTAACCCACCTTTTTAGTGCGGGGGATTCGCCACTTAATATCATCATGGATTGTAAAATAATTGTTATTTTACAATCCATGATATCATGCATGTATGTTGTCTGTATGGGAGGGTTGTTCCTGACTCGGTACAAGTTGACATAGTCATATAATTATGTTTGTAACATTTGTATTGTGAGTAAACTAGTAAGTATTGTATAATGACGCGATTGGTTATATAAATAAAACTACAAATGTTGATACGAAGCATCGCATATCGTGACTGTATACAATATATAATTTATATTGGGAAATGAACGGCGATAGAATCTGTCGCGATCATGATTGAATTTGATATGTTGCAATATATTCATCGACTTCATCAGATTGAATCTGAGAATATATTGCAGCATATCAAATTCAACTATGATCGCTGAGTTACGAATACTTAATTTAATTGCAAACAAGCCTTGTTTGCAAGTTTGTAAATCAGTATATATAATAGTTTTACAAACTTCTATAAAAATTGATCCCGCAAAACGTGCCACTTAGGGACCGCTCATTATTTATTGTACAGGGGGGATTGAGGAGAAATTGGGGGGGGGGGCTTTAAATTTTTTAATACCTGCAAGGGGGGGCTTTGAAAAAATACAGAGAGGCTTTGAAAATATTTACCAGTTTGAAAAAACATTAGTAGTTTTAAAAATGTATCACAAAACAACTTAACAAATAACAATGTTTATAGACCTTTAATATTCATAAATGGAAGCCAAATAAAAAGTCTCTTATGTTCATGTAAATAGACAATTCCCATTATAGACTAATTTTAGAACTAGGCAAAGAGATGCAAATTAAGGCCGGATTTTGGTGAAAATAGTGGGGGAGGTGGAAAAAAATTTTAGGGGAGGTGCAGCGGGTCCAGCTCACAACTCCCATGGAAAGTTAGGGCTTATTGTAGAACAACCTCGTACCCAGGGCCTTTGCGCGGTTCAGAGGCTCTGGTACGGGAAGCAAAGGCCCTGGTCAACACGATCTCCGAATTGAATTAATAATTATCCTTAAATGTTAACTGACATTTGTATTCATTATAATCATTAATTCAGGTGATGCGCAAACATGTAACAATTAGTATCATGTGCGCACCACATGGTAATGATTCGTATTCAACATGGCTGACGAGTGAGAGTTGCATAGAAAGTCGCCTTTTCGGGGGGAATAATGGCATTGCCTTTGCGTTTAGGGAAGAAGAATAAACCTTCAACAGATGACGCTTTACGGCGCGTGAACGATCTTTTAGCCCAAAGTCCGTTGTCAAAGCCTATGAGGAGAAAGAGGCGAAAGCCTACTCGGTTTGAAATAACAACTGACCCTCGAACAGGCCTACGTGATTTTAAAGGGACTTATAACCCTGCTTCAAGAGCATCTAGTAGCCAAGGTTTGAATAAATTTGATTTTGGTTTAGGTTTCAAAATAACTGTGTTCATATTGAAATATAAAATTTCATAGCCCCGTCTGTAATAATAAATCATTTATAGAAAAATTTAATATAAAATTTAAAACCTTGAACAATCGACCTAGCCTGCGTCACAGACGCTCTTATCACATTACAGACATTACACACAGACTATGTCGTAGTCTACAATCGACCGTACGTGTACAAAATCTCAACCTCTGAGTCCAAAAAGTTAAATGGACGCGCATGTGTACTGCATGTGCCAAATGCCACAGACAAATACTAGAAGCATTGTGTTTCTTGCCCTTAGAGGTTGAGCTTTTACTACATTTATAATTTTAATATTTTATAGCAAGTTTTTGACCTTCAGAGGACAATGACAATGTTAATAATTTAATTAGTTGTGACTTGTGTGTTGTAGGAATAGATAAGGACAAATTAATATATTACAATGTTGCTGTAAATCTACGACAATGTCAGCCAAGGGTTTATAATAAGTCAGTGTATGAAATCCTCTTAACCTATTTAACTTAACATAATAATCAGGGGGAGGTGTCACTCCCATTAATTGTGGATAATATATTGCAGATGAATGTCAGATAAGTTTGAATGAAAGTTCAAGTAACAATCACGTCTGAAATTGGGGAAGAATTAGCATGCAATAATAGTGGTAATAAGTTTAGCATCAGGGCAGATACTGAAATTTTTGAGAGAATCCAAAATGTAATGTTCGAAATTGTTGTATCGACTTTAGTCCCCCCCCCCCCTTTGGCATTTACTGTAATGGGTTAATTTGGAAAAGCCAATCTTAATTAAGTATAAATTTTATTTGACCGGCTTTACCCAATCATGTACAGGAATAGGAAAAGTTGTGACAATTGCAATGTAACAGATACAGTACACAGGTGGATGAACACAATGTTACTTCATACCCAAACATCTTTCTTATTGCAGTATAATTATATGTGCAATTTGTGAGTGATTAATTAAAGATTTGGATACACAACTGCAGGCAATATTTCACCCACTGTATGATGATGAAGCAATGACAATAAATTTAATGTGATCCCTTGACATGTGGGTTTTTGGGCTGACTGGGCACATGACAATTGCTACCATATAATGTAAATGTTCGAATTCTGGCAAAACATTCAGTTTTTCCATGTATGGCACTGGCACA